AAAACTTAGCAACACAATGCAACTCAGCAGTAAATTTGCTAATAGAGATGAGGTTACAAGTAAGGGAGGGAACATGAAGGACTGAGTTCAAAATAATATGTTCAGAAAGTTTAATGGATCCCTTGCCCGCAATAGTGGAGAAATTTCCATCAGCTGTTCTTATTCGTGACGGGTGATAGTAAGGGGTATAGGAGGAAAATAAGGTTGCATTACCTGTCATGTGATCAGAGGCTCCTGAATCAAGGATCCAACGATTACTACGTTCAACATGGAATGCCATACCTTTTTGAGCAACATGACTAGTTGCCTCAGCAGGTTGAGACATCAATTTCTGAAATTGCTCATACTGGGCCTTAGAGAGGAGAACACCATCGGGGTTTGAAGGGACATGAGACCCCTCCCCCTTATCTTTAGAAGATACTTGATTAGCACGATTCTTGTTCTGTCCTTTTGGTTTCCAGTTTGGTGGTTTGCCATGAATTTCCCAACATTTTTCACGGGTGTGACCACTTTTATTGCAATGAGAACACCAACGGTCAGAACGTTTTGAGTCCCCAGAAGGACGAGCTGTATTCTTTGTTATAAGGGCTGACCCATCAGAGGACTTAGAGTCCTTATCACCCAACATTACCTTTCGGCGAAGCTCCTTCCTTCGTACCTCAGAAAAGGCAATGGCAATGGAAGGTAATGGGTTTTGCCCCAAAATTCTTCCACGAACATCATCCAGATCAGAATTAAGGCCAGCAAGAAAATCATAGAGACGCCTTTTCTCTATATAATTTTTGAATATTGCATTAGCGTTTAAACCTTGAAGGTCTGCTTTATCATAAAGATCCAACTCTTGCCACAATGTTTTTAGAGCAAGGAAGTATTCAGTAACAGTCATCCCTCCTTGGCGTAAATCTTTCACCTTGGTTTTGAGTTCAAAAGCCTGAGAGGCATTGCCCAGGTCAGAGTAGTATTCTTTAACAACTTCCCAAATTTCTTGAGCCGTATCAAGGAATAAATAAGTTTGACTGATATCCGGTTCCATAGAATTAGTCAGCCATGTCATGACCAAAGCATTTTCAGTCACCCAAGCATTATAGCCAGGTTCATGTTCTGCTGGTTGAACCTTTTTTCCATCCAGATAACCCATCTTCCCTTTGGCCTGGATAAACAACTTAACAGATTGACACCATTGCACATAGTTTCTACCGTTTAAACGGTGATTGGTGATCTGCATTGCTGGGTTGTCTCCAGAAGACGAAGAAATGGGAAGGGGTGAGGTTCCGGTCGAAACTCCAGATGAATTTTCAACATTTTCAGTGTCCATGGCTTCCTAACAACAATACCCAGAAAAACAAATTGCTCCAAATATGATTTTGACCCTCAAAACAGGAAGAGGGAAGGCAGACGATCAAAACGGGGTATGACCCGCCGGAAAAAAATGATGGGAGGGCGGCGCGTGGACCATACGTGCCGGCGAAGCTGAAGGATGTTGGTGGCGTGTGGCGGCGCGTGGCTGGGTTTCCGGCGACGGGTCTTTTGTTGGCTGGCTCGGAATTTTGTTCTGGACCTAATGGTGGCCTTGGTTTTGTGGTTGGAGGTGTCTAGGTGAGGGTTCTGACCTTGACAGAGGCAAAAAACGAAAAAAAGGAATGGAAGGAAGACTTAAAGAAGTTAGAACAGGGAAGAGACTGGATTTTAACCAGCTCTTGATACCATGATGAAAAAGAAAGAGTGTTTTTCTGTATAAAACTATTGATTGATTACATTGAGAGACCCAATAGGTCCTATTTATATTGAGTACAAAGAAACAATGCTAATAAATAGCAACAGTAAACTAAGAGGCTTATTTACAATAACAAGAGACATTAATAAATAAGGGAACAAATAGCAAGGAAGTAATAAATGATAATCTAGAATATTCTACACTATGAATTAAAGAAAATGGAGAAGAGTCATGGTGAACTTTAGAAGGATAATGAACACGAGTATGCTTGGCAAGTTGACAAATGTAACAAGAAAACAAACTAGGTCTTTTATTAATAAATTAGTTTGGTAACAACTTCTGTGGATAGGTAAAAATGGGATGGCCTAGCCTACGGTGCCACAGCATAACATCATTACATGAATCAAAAGGAAACATAGAGTTTTTTCCCACAAAAACAGCTTCATGAGTCACATCCTCCTCAAAGTAGTAAAGTCCACCATCCTCTCTAGCACTGCCGATCATTCTCTCCGAGGCTTGTTCCTGAAAAACACAACCATGTGGAAAGAATTTAGCAAAACAATGCAACTCAAAAGTTAGCTTGCTAATGGAAATAAGATTGCAAGCCAGAGAAGGAACGTGAAGAACTGATGTTAAATTAATCTGCTCAGAAAGTTTAACAGTTCCATGTCCTGCAATTTGGGAGAAATTGCCATCGGCGATCTTGACCCAGAGGGTTTAGAGTATGGAGTGTAAGAAGAAAACAAGGTCGGATTACCTGTCATATGGTCAGAGGCTCCAAAATCAAGGATCCAACGATTTTGACTATCAACATGGAAAGCTGTACCTTGTTGGGCCACATTATTAGTAGCCTTAGGAGGTTGAGTCAGAAGTTTCTGAAGTTGTTCAAATTGAGTCTTGCTGAGAAACACACCATCAGAGTTAGAGGATGCAAGAGGCTCATCAACCTTGTCATTAGTAGAAACCTGATATGCACGACCTTTATTCTGCCCTTTAGGCTTCCAATTTGCTGGTTTCTGGTGGATTTCCCAACATTTCTTATGGGTATAACCAATTTTATTGCAGTGGGTGCACCATGGACGACCATCCCATTTTGATTCTCCAGAGGAACGGTCAATGGAGGCATATCATCATACTTATCAATTGATTCCTTTTCTCCCGGCATAACTCTCTGTCTACTAGCTTCTTTCCGAACCTCAGCAAAGGCATCAGCAAGTGAGGGTAACGGTTGCAGTTCTAATATTCGACCACGAACCTCATCAAGATCTCGGTTGAGGCCAGTAAGAAAGTCATAAATCCGTTCCTTCTCCAAAGTTTTTTTAAACTGGGAATTAGCTTCCAATCCTTTGAGGTCGGATGCATAATGAAGATCTAGTTCCTGCCATAAATTTGTTAGTGTAGTAAAATATTCACTAATGGTCATACCCCCTTGACGCAAGTCTTTCAACTTATTTTTCATTTCAAAGACTTGAGAGGTATTTTCTAGATCGGGATAATTTTATTGAACAACATCTCAAATCTCCTTGGCGGTATCGAGGAACAAATAGGTTTGGCTGATCTGGGGTTCCGTGGAATTGGTCAGCCATGCCATTACCAAGGAGTTATTAATCTCCCAATTTTCATAATCAGAAGCATCCTTGGCAAGTTTTTTAATTTTCCTATCGAGATAACCCGTCTTACCCTTTGCCTGAATGACCAACTTAACAGATTGAAACCATTGTAGGAAATTTTTAGCGTTCAAACGGTGACTAGTGATCTGCATGGCTAAGTTGTCTCCAGAGGACTGAATATTAAGGGCAGATGAGGTAACAGAAGAACGATCTGAGGATGCCATGAAAGAAGAGAGAGGATTTGACCTTTGACCCAAAAAATCAAGTTGTTCCTTTTGCAGATCTGACCTTTGAAACAGGTAGAGGAGAAGACGGCGAGTGGTTCTGAGCAGATCGCAGCGAAAAAAGGTGCCGGGAAGGTGGCGCGTGAGCTACACGCGCCGGTTAATGGCCGCGCGTGTAGAGTCGCGTTCAGTGGCTGATGGTGATGGCTCCGGTGGCGTACGACTCTTTGGAGCCTTCTGAGTTGAATGGTCACTCCACCTTCTCGATTGGAGGTTTGTAGATATGGTTTCTGGGTTTGGGCAGAAGTTGGGTGGTGTTTTGATGGTGTTTGGATGGTGTTTCAACCTTGAATATGGCTGATCTAAGGTAGGAACGAACCTACTCTTGATATCATATTGAAATATAAAAGAATTGTTTTTTTTTGAGTTGATACAAATGATTTACACTGATAGGGAGATTTATACAAGAGAGAATGAGAAAAAATAGATAAGGACGACTCAGCAATGAGTCATTTAGCCCTATCCACTAATTAATAGAAAATAAAAGCGTATCCACTAATTAATAGAAAATAAAAATGGAAATATTTTAATCTTAATTTCCTACACTTCCATTTTATGTTTTCTTCCTTGCATGTCAAGAAAAATGTGTTGGGTTGGAGCTATATACTAAAATCTCAAAATATTTCAAAGAAATATCTAGGCTGAGAAACTAAAATTTGAAATTGTAATGGGAGGGACCAATACTAAACCATAAGTTAGTTTTCCCATTTGTCTCAAGTAGCAATTGATTGCCTAGATCCCTAAATTATGATAATGTCTATGAACGTGATAGAAATCTGGAAATCACTGAATATTATTTATCCAACATTGGGAGCTCAGCTCCATACAACAGAGGACATCCTATGGAAAACACCGGAAACAGTAGGAAAATAGATGAAAAACAAGAATGAAAATACTCATAAGCTGCAGTGAGCAGTTCCTTATCCGCTTAGGCCACCAAACTTAACCCAAAATTCTGTTATGCCTCTCTACGACTACGGCCGCCGACACCCTCCGTATAATCAATCAGCTCTCTCTCTTTCCAATCATGTCATATCATCCTCTCCATTAATGTACTGCCAGCTGTCTGTTTTGTTATGCTCCTATGTCCCAGTAACCAAATCCTCCACTGCCTCATTCTCTCTTAGTTGGAATTCCCTCATCACCCCTTCTAGTCTTCTACCATCATTCTTCCTTCTTACATACACACGCAGGCGCTCATTGGGCCCATCTCTTCTTTTCCCCTTCCTTCCCTCTCCCCCTTCTCCTATACACACAGGTCAAGGGCCGATCAGAATAATAGATGTGGTTTCATGTATTGAGAACAAATAGCTGATAACTTTTATAAACCAAATTATGGTCTTGAATGCAAGAGATAAACTACTATATATTATCAAACACCTGTTTTTGCAGAAACTTTCGCTTTTAATCACTGAGGCATACAAGGATGCACACCAGAAGAGTGTCCAGGTAAAAATCTCTGTCTTCAAGAGGAAGAATAAAATTTCATTTGCATTTGTGCTTATTGAATTGAAAAAACATGCTATTGCTTATATTTATAGGCCATGAAGGAAAGGATGAGTGATCTTGCACAGAGCTTAGGAATGCCGCCAGGGCTTAGTGATGGATTGAAGTGATGAATATTTTATTCTAGACTATGACATGGGCCTCAATTTTGCATACAAAAACATGGCAGATAGGCTTATTTTTTCATTTACTATGATTCTGAATTTGCAATCTTGATAATTCAGAAATGTAATCTTGGAGTTATTTGAAATAGTGGTGGACCTTTCTTTTTCCCACATTTAATCCTTGTCCTATTGATGTTTGAATGGTAAAAATTCAGTTCTATGCGTCCTGTTATCCTAGTCTTTGTCAATAAAGAAAAATATGGGCCACGTTATGTGGTTCTTGATTCATTAGCTGATACTGAAGAAAGTGGGAAACCTTATGTGAGGCATTAGAATCCAATAGATGGTAGAACCGTAGAAGACAGTCTTTTTATATCGGTGGTTTTTGTAGACTTCCCTTGATATTCGGGGATTATCCAATATATGGTTGAAGAGAGAATAAGACTTCTATAGAGGCTTTGTATATAAGGAGGATTACTTACAGACATACTTACAAAAAAACGACAAACTTCTTGTAAATCAAAAGTAACATTGGAGTTCTTTGGAAAACATGTATTATGAGATTATGTTGGTCATATGGTGCCAAGATAGATTCTCGTGATAAGAATACTTTCTAAATTTTACACACAAATTTTTAATAAACTAACAATTTTTGTTAGTTTCTTTTGCTCATTCACTATTGAGCAATACAAACATTGTTTACAAATCACAAACACTAATATGAAAAAAATAATACCTGTTTTCTATCCAGGCTGCTGCCTCCACCCACCAATTCCGGGGGATTATGGACACCAATTAAATTGAATTGCACAAAAGATAAACCGATGAAAATGTTAACAGACCTTCACCTAACAGCTTGAGCTTTTAGGTGAAATGATTGTTTATCAAATTTAAATAGTGACATGTCAAGATTTTGGTAGCTCTTTCCCTGCCAAAAATGCCCTGAAAAGTATGTAAGCTCGCTGTGGCTGAAACAGTGGTACTTCATGCCCAGCTCCTCTCACCGTTGCAAAAGTTAGTCCCTTATACACCTCTGTCCATCCACCTACCTATATAAACCATAACAAAGAGCGATGATGATATCAAGAGGGCTTTGGAAACCTGAGTTTCTGTTTAACATAGGTTTCAGTTTCTGTAAGTACCTGTTGACCTGAGTACCATGGATACCAACGAGTTTTAATGGGGAGGTTGAGATGGTTGAGAGAAAACCTAGTGGCAGTTACTGGAACCACTGAATCTGTGTCTCCGCTGCATTATAACAAAAGCAATGGTGTTGCATTTTAATTATACTGAGACCAGATTATCTCCATAATCATCCATGGAACTCCCACATAAGGTTTTGGATTATAGTTCCCTAGCATGCACGCCTCTTATCTAAGTGCTTTGCTATAGGTGAAATAGAAACAACACAGCACCACAGATGTAATATAAAACCATTTTTGTTTCTTCACATAACAACTTGAACTTTTGGTAGAATTAATTTATTGGGGATGAGTTAGGTTTTTCAAGGGGCACCCATACCTTTTTGTCCATCCCTTTACCCTCTCCATGACAAAAATAAAATAAAATAATCGTACCTCAACATTAAAGGGACTAGTTGTTTTACACTGGATAGAAGGAATGTGGGAAATGAGAAATCTAAACTTTATAAGAATTTACATTGAAGAATACTATTACAGTATATAGCTTTTAATTTATCTAGTCATGCTGACTAGTTAAACTCTTTAGCTATTAAGAGTTGTGGATGATGTAGTAGTGATGTGTATGTGATAAGACCCTTTAATATTGATGTTTGGAAAACAAGATCAGTATGGGGAAGGAATGGGGAAGACGAGACTAGAAGACATGCTTATCCTTTTATTACAGTAAGTATAAGGGAAAGTCACCTCAGAAAAGACAAATGTTTTTTTCTACATTTCTGTTCCGAAATGCATGATTTTCTTCTTAAGAAAATAAAATAAATTATAACCGTTAAATTGACGGAAATCAATAGTGATTAATTTAGTAGTGAAAGTTGTAAAATTTGTCAGTAGTAAGTATAATCTCTCTCTAGTTTTATACGTTAATTTTTGTTGTTGAATTTTCCCTTAAAGGAGAGACCTATTAGTACAAGTTGTGCACAAATACTAACTCGTAATTTTAATGTCAAAAAGTAATGTTCTATTTTATTTTATTTTTAAAAACCAGATCTTTTACTCTTGTTCTATTTTTTTATGGGAAATAGTAATCTTATGTCACATAAGACAACTATTTTATGTTACACACCCATGAAATTTTGTGCCCATTTTTTCTTTTAATTTTTATTTTTTTTAAAATTGTGAGCCCCACAACTTTGTTTCTCTCACATGAGATACCTACCTTATGCAACATAAGATTAATAACTCCCTTTTTTTTTTATTCCATGAAAGGTAGGTTGGTGTAAAAGAAAATTTAATAAATTCAACTGTAGAAATAATATTGCTGCTGTTTATGTAGATCTTTAGAAATTAAAGTATACCTGAAAACCCATATTCTCAAACCCGCTGCAATTAATTCTTTGTATATAGGCAATATAGAAACTTCAGAATCCTTCCAATGATTATTGAGCACGTCACTGTTCAACCAAAGAAAGGTACATGTTAAAAATGTTTTCCCGTTAGAGAAATTGAATATTGTTTTTTGATTTTTGAAAGCGAAGTCTATTTGTGTTAATAGTTACAACATATGGACTCAGAAAGCAAACCTGCAAGCAGTCCATTTGTAAGGAATGTTTGTAACATTTGCATGCATTGCTTTCTGAACATCACGACGATTATAATATTTCTCTGCATAGTCTTCAGTACACGGATCATACCCAGAAATTCTATGTAAAATTGTACTCTTGTGCCTCATGTACCTTATGGTATTGTTGTGTGATGTTATGCACTTAGGGGTATAGATATTGTACTGATCAATGTTTCCAAATTCATGGTTAACTGCATAACTCACAGCATCATCACATTTTTTAGATGTTTTTTCTTCAGTGAAATTACAGTATTTGAGGATAGATTTGTATGATTGATCAGATATCATAGAGTGGCTCCACCAATACGTGACAGTTCCAACCCCATCATAGTAGTTATCAGTCACAGCATTTCCCACCTATAGTATTCAATTATCTTTCATATTTTAAAAATAAAAAAGAAAAATACATAATTGTGAACATTGTTGAAGTAATAAGAATGGAAAAAGTGTGTAATTTTAAATAACACAAGTTGTGTCATTTCATAGATATAAAGAGGTGTGAGTCCTATTGAAAAAAATAAAATAAAGGTGAATTTTATCTCCGTGTCTATGAAATGACATAATTTGTGTCATTTAAAATGAAACACATTTTTCACAATAAGAATTGACTTACAATGAACCCTTTAAGATTAAGGATATGAGGATTTTCTTTATTATAATCATGGATTTTCTTAGCCAACTGGGGGACATAATGCCCTATAAAAAGGCAATCAAATGGTACGTTAGCTTCTATAAAAGTTTGAAATTTGGATAAAAATTTTAAATTTGTTAAAGTTGGTACCTGCATAGCTCTCCCCAGCAATGTAAAACTCTCTATATTTATATTGTGGAAATCTCGCCATCCATCTAATTAGAAAAACTAGAGCATCCTGAGCTGCTTAATAAAATTGGAAGTTTCATATTAATTACAAATATAGTAATAAAAATGGATGGTGACAATTCAACAAACTTCAAGAGCGCATCAAATTGTACCTGTCCTTTTGTCCCCAGAATTTTTGAGGTCAGAACTGGTATTTGTGTATGAGAAACCAACACCAGCGGGTGATTCAAGAAAAAGTATATTTGCTTCTGAAGACCAATTTTATATATATTATCAGATATTGTTTTTCTAAAAGATATGGTGAAAGATAGAAAATTAAATTATTACTGTTGTTACTTTGAAGGATTACCTGTATTCCATGCATATTTATTAAGGTATAGAGAAGAGCCAGTTTTGTTTACTCGGAATGGCCCAATTTCCTCTGATGCCCCGTATGCCACTGATGAGCAACCTGGTCCTGAACCAATCACACCACCAACATCAAAATATATACATTATCTTGTGGTGATGATTAGTTTAAATTTTGAGTTATATGTTAATATGTACAAGAGATTTAACACCTCATTAATTAACAATTAACGATTGTAATATGTAATGTATTAAAAATTTAAACTTAATATATCCAACTTAAATGTTTGTGATAAATTTAATGGAAATAAATTTTCTCATATCACATGAACTCATATGGGATAATTTTAATCTTTTAAAAATAAATCAATAATTACAAAAAAGAGAAGGATATTCTTACTATAAAAAAAAATCAACTATCAACTCACTACCTATCTATCACTATTGGATCATAGGGAGAGAGAATGCTAAATTTTTTTTGAAAAGGGAGAAAATGCCCATCCAATTATGATTATATAGATAGTGGATTAGTAATGAGTTTTTTTGATAGTAAGAATATCACTTCTTTATATAAAAAAAAAAGCATTAATATAAAAAAAGGAACGAATAACCATTGAATTTGTTGGACGGTTAACATTGTGCCACATAAAGTAACGTGATATAAGCAAATTCACTCCCAAATTTTATGGGTTTTATAAGAGTTATGTTGTAGGAAAAGTGATTCGTTTTTCACTTCCAGATATTTTTTTTTGCTCCCAAATTTGGGAGTTGATCATCCCACGTGAAACTCTCCCAAATTTACGTAATCATATTATGTAAAAATTCTCAATCAATGGTTAGCAATTAAAGCAATAACTTACCCTTCCAGTTTTCACCAACTTTTTTTCTTAAAATTGAGGCATCCTAATAATGGCTTGAGATTCGATTTGAGAACTAATAATGATGTAATATTAACGGTGAACACATTGCAACTTATTTTCTTAAATTATCACTCACGATATTATCTTTTTTAGTTGGTCCTCTTTCATGGCTCTAATAGAGATGAGTAAGTGATGGAGACCTCAAAGTTTGAGGGTTCACGGAATATGAATAGCCCCACAGAGCCATGATGCAGCATGTAGATCACTATTCCCTTTGTTGGTCCTGAACGCGCGTGCTTGGGGTGAATCAAAAGAGACAAAAAGAGAAAGAAAGTGAATTTGAGGAATGAGAATGGGGAATGAGCATCTTTGTGGGAGGGACAAAGTGGAAAAGTTAGTTCACTTTGCAGTGTGCTCTTTGTTCTTTGTTTCTTTTCACCCCACAAATACCAAAGACAGAATATAAAGAAAGTGAACAAAAAAAAAAGGTTGTAAGCAAGTGTTTCCTTTTGTTTGCTTCTTACACAAAAGGGTTCTTACTTCTTCCAAACAGGGAATAGAAGGAAGAAAGCTAAAAATTAAAAAACAAATACAAACATTGTGAGATCACGAGGACCCATGTGATGTGGGTATCTATCCATACTTTTTTTCTTCTTTTTTCTTTTAATCAATTTTATTCATATGTCTGTTTTCTTTTTTCATGCTTAGGTTATTTATTTTTGTCCAACCCTGTTAGATTACAGTTGAGATTATATTCTAAAGATATTAGAGTAAAATAAATAAAATAAGTATAAAAAAAATAAATATAAAATTTTATCCCAAAGTCCTCATCTTATGGGGAACTTCACTGCATCCATCTACTATGGTTTAACAACAACCACTTGTTCTGAATTTCTTCATCAGAATCAGTGATGGTGACCTAGCGTATCTTAGCAGGAAACAGTACACATTAACTCAAGTGCACCAGGGGTATTAACAGGCCAATGTGGATAGGGTTGGCCAGGGTATGGATACCATACGGTGTGACACTCTCACCATTCAAAATAAGTTAATATATTTATCAATATTTTACGAAACTTAAAAATGAAATTTGAAGGGTTGAGATTCCTGCAAGTTAAAGAATAAACCGTAGAGGAAATGATACAGGTTGGCCATTTAGGGGGTTGTCAACACGTGCAATGCATAAAGAGATTTCAGAGGGAAGCCATAAAAGTTATTGGTCAGTAGCAGAAATGATATTTATAACCACTTTACTTCACATTTATTTACCCCACAAAAAAATAAAAAATAATGATAATAAATTTACATCACATTTATGGGATACGTATGGTAGTTCCTCACTTGCATGTGTGGTGGTGATCACTTTTCATGATATGTAAGGACGAACGGGGAACAAAATTGCATCATTTTTCTTTGGTCATATTGTGAAGATCAAATATAGTTGTTCGCTTGTACGTAATGTTTCAATAATGACACTGATTAGCCACTTCATAGTTAGATTTACTAATGTTGCTTTGTTTTCGTATGATACATATAGTTTTATTTTAATACTACAATACAAGGTATTTTAGCAAATGAAGTAATTATCGTTTTAATGAGTAATTAATAATTCGCTATAAAAGTTATAACTATATATATATATATTAAATGTTCTTTTTTTTCTATTGTTGCTCCTAGTTGGTAAGCCGTCTTATACCAAAGTTAAGAATTCAAAATGCTTATTATATTTCCTCTAATCTCATCCAAGTAAGAAACAATTTTTAGAAGAAAGTGTTCCTTTGTTTTCTATATTTCATACAAATATTCATGGTTTAAGTGGCTAGAACCTCTTAATCAGAGGTCTCAAGTGGCAAGTTGTTCTTTATACGAGTCTTGCAGTACTCGAATCTAATTAATTAAAAAATTAATGAACTAAGGGAGAGCAAAAAGAAATAGTCATGAATATTTGTTAGTTCTATCTCTTCTATTTTTTTTCATGAATCTAACATAGAATTCAATCTCCTTCCTTTTCCTCTCGTTTGTGGTGAGAAGAGGAGTACCCTACCCTCATGCTCTTTGGACAAATTTTTCATCTACTAGTGTGCATGGAATTAATTAGATATTTCATTCCTGTAAAGTTGCAAATTAAGTGTTTTGAGGAAGGAACATAATTTTCAAAGCACTTGAATACAACTAATTAAATTTTTTCATGGATTGCATATATATACTTCAATCATTCGGCAAATTAAAGGAAAAAAAAAAAAACATAACCCAAAAGAGAGAGGAAAATAAATGAAACACACAAAGCTAATAGAAATGAAGGTGGGAAGGTGAGGAATTAAAGCTATATATATAAGCAAAAATAAGAAATGAAATTAACTAACCTCCATTGAGCCAGAGAACAAGAGGTTTATTATCTGGGGAAGTGGTGGCTTCAGTGAACCAGTAGAAGAGTGCTCTGCCATGTTGCTCGTTGACAGTGACATAACCAGAGAATTGAGAAAATGTCACTGATGATGGCTGCCCCGGCAGAGAAGAGATTCGATCTAACTCTTGTTCCTTTGGCACAGCAACAATGCATGAAAATGAAAAGATTATAAAGCACAATAATAATATATGCAACTTGGTTTGGAATGCCATCATTGCACCCTTTATATATATGATCATAAATAACACAAAGGCGATCTCAAGAGCTTTCTTTTCTATTACTATGTGATGTCTGTGAGAGAAATAAGTGGGGAGTGGTGGGTACTGGGTAGGGTGAAGTTATATATAAGAAAGGTTATATATATATATATATATATATATATATATATATATATATATATATATCTCTGAATAAAGATATTAATTAACTACACAGAAGAACTGAGTGATGAGAATCTCAATGTCTCAATTCTTAAGTTACTAGTTGGGTGTGTACTTGGACTTTCTCTATTGTTATATTACTATACACACCAACAGTCTGCAAGTTGGGTCATCCCTGTGGAGTGTGGACCTTTCTATCTTCTCGCTCTCTCTCTCTCTCTCTTTGTTATGTGTTTGTATTGTAATGAAGAGAGATTGAGATAGAGTCATAGAGAGAGAGAGAGATGGTCCTACAAGGCTAATTGAAACTTGATCAGATAGCCGTTGAGAACTCAGAAAGCAACATCATAAATGCATCACCCATGGACCCATACTATGCATTACTCTTTTTGTCCCTCTCTCTATTTCTCTCGTTCTCAATTCAGTCACTCACAATTCCAGTTTAAAACGGTTGTTATCTATGTGTTTTTAAAAAATATTACTGGTAAACAACCATTGGTTTAGAAATTTGTTCCTTTTAACTAGATGTTTTGATTCGAGTCCTGACAATGGAGAAAATGATTTTGGAAAAGTCACCCCTATAATGAATTCGATGGTTGTTGAGCTAGACTAATTCAATAATCAATAATATATATATATATATATATATATATATGGGAGGGTTCTTTTGACTCCAGAGTAAGATTTAAAAGTCTTATATATATATATATATATATATATATATATATATATATATATATATATGAGGTAGGATCATTTGACACCGGTGTCAAATTTGAAGTTTGACACTGAATCTGAGAGCCGTTAGATAAAAAAAGATCAACGACTCTGATTTGTAAACATGTGACACCGTTGATCTTTTTTGATCTAACGACTCTTAGATGAGGTGTCAAACTTCAAATTTGACACCGGTGTCAAATGATCCTACCTCATATATATATATATATATATATATATATATATATATATATATATATATATATATATATATATATATATATATATATATATATATATATATATATATATATATATATATATATATATATATATATATATATATATATATATATATATATATATATATATATATATATATATATATATATATATATATATATATATATATATATATATATATATATATATATATATATATATATATATATATATATATATATATATATATATATATATATATATATATATATATATCAGGTTTGATTTTCTCATGTTGTATGAAAATTGAATTCTCATGTTGTGGCTCAACTAGTGGTGGATCCCACGTTTATTAAAAAGAGAGAAAGAAAAGAAACACTTTACACACAAAATGAAGGGTCACAACATGAGAATTGAATTCTCATGCAACATTTAGAATATATATATATATATATATATATATATATATATATATATATATATATATATATAATAATAATAATATTACTAGAGGCTAACTCTATAATTTAAACGTTACATATTTAAATTTGAAAAATAATATCTTCATAAATAAGTAAAGGTAAGACTATTAATCGGGATTTGACGAGAAGTGATTTATTACTAAAAGATTTGATTTCAAGAAGAATTGAGGTTGTGTCCCTGCCCCACTACATCTTTTGTTGTATATAACTATATATGCTGAGATTTTTATTTTATTTTTTGCTTTGGAGAGGATCGATCATTAATTTGGAAGCATGTGTCAGAGCTATCAACTTTAGCTGGCTGGTCTTATAGTTGACTCAAATAATAAAAAAAACCGTAAAAACTATATAATCCATACATAATCCTTGAATATCTATCATTATTTGGTCAAACTAATGGTCGGCGCATGCATATGCATATATTAAATTTCATATATTGACTTGCTTTTCAATCAAACAAATTAAAATATTGGATTTCCAGAAAATGTAATTAACTAAGCTACCTAGCTTAGCTCGTATGCTATATGGTGTAGCTAGGTTTAGGTATATTTAGTTTCAGCCTTCCTTAAGCCCCAGCTAGCTTATATATGTTGTTATATTGTATAAATTTCTATATTGCAATATACTTTAATACCCCTCTTAATTGTGGTCCTAATATATATGGAGGAAGCACAGCGAGAAGTGGGGTTGCATTTCTTGTGATCTTTATTGGGCAAAGCCTTTTTGATTCCTTGACATATAAGACATTGGGTTGGAGGAGTTCCCCAAACATGAGGGACAAGAAATGCTAGACCTTATCGCCATAGTAAAAACCGAAGAGGTTGATGAATATGAATGGTGCAAAGTCAAAGAAATAGTTACGTTTGTGAAAGACACAACCAATTAAATTGCATCAATATAAACGGAAAATTAATTATACCATTCCCTACAAAAGGCTTAATTAATTATTTCCCTTTACGAAATGGCATTCTTGTACACGTGTAAGTTTCTTGATTGGAGTAAGTGGTAAATACTGGCACATGCATAATATATATATATATATATATATATATATATATATATATATATATGAAATCACTACATAAGAAAAGAAGAAGAATTTTATATTTTAGAGTTGAGCTTAGTGTAAGCCAATTATTAATTAAAGGTAATTTGGAGGATCATCCAAGGATTAGTCCACCAACCAATATCATATATCATATTTTCCAACTTGTTAATTAAGGAAAGTGGTTAACATTTGTTTGCCAAATCACACCGCAACAGAAGAAAAGGTAGTTAATGATCATAAATTAATTTATATAGTTATAATTTCGGAATAGTTTTTAACTTTTCACTTAATAATTCCTTAGGTTTCCTAGCTTCGGTTCACCAACCAAACATTATTAATGATTCGATCTCCTTCATTCACTTTTACATGAATGTATCCATCTATTAGATGATAAACAAAATAAATTAAATAAATTAAATTTTTTAACAACCACGGGCCCCACGCATATAGGTAGATAATAATTATTTGTAGTATAGAGCATGGTCAATTCCTTGCTTTCAAGTTTCAATCCAAGGTATCACATCATACCTATTTTAATAGCCAATTTTGATTACAAGTATTGGAAAAAAAAATGATCTCCCCTATATCTGCCCCGTTAATGCTGAATCAAATGTTATTAAAATACAATTTAACAAATTAATTCAGCTCTATCACTCCATGTGCATTGAGAATTTGAATAGGTAGCTCTCAAAAAGTCAATCTCATTTAGAGGTGTTGCAAGAGTCTGACTTTAATGATAATGCTTGTGTTCGATCCAAGAAAATCCTAATTAATATAAGATCACTAAATTAATGCAAAGAGGAGGCTTAAAGCTAATAGGAAAGTGTGTGTACGCACGAAAATAGGAAAATGATAAAGTCATGTAGGAAGATTACGACCATATAAAGATGAATTAACGGTTATGATTTTATAACTACCTATTTTAATATATTTTTTTCTCTTTCTTTATTACTATTGATCCATTTTTGTATGGTTATAATTTTTCATTTGACCATGTCATTTTTTTTTCACATGAGAGGATCCAGATCCATGTAGGTACAATGACATAGGAGAAGTTAAGGTTTCAAGAATTTTTTTTTGGTGAGATTTAACTTTTTATTTATAGAAAAATTTACCTTATAATGAATAAAGTCCAAAATTTCTAAGAATATGTCTATAACAGTTTGCTTGTTTTCTAAAATTGAGAAAAACAGCAGATGTTTCGGTCCAGGATTTGTTGTTTTATAGTTTCCATGCGCATGCAAGCGTAGAAAACTAGAAATAATCAGGCAAAGTAGCTTCACCCTCCCTGAAATAAAAGAAGATGATGTTTTCTGACTTTCTATATATGGTCAAAGTTAAAAATAATAAAAAAATAAATAAAACGATGCTCATAGCCATTTTTCTTTGCTGCAGGGCAAAATAATTATAGGGATAGGGATGTACAGTTAAATAATTGCACAGATACTTGAAAATCGGCACAAACAAACCCATAAAAAATTGCCCTGTCTATAGCTTTGATTCTTTACCAATAACGCTTTAATGCTATCTTTTTTTGAGGAGGATCTACACATACACTCTCAACTAGATAGCGAGAGTAAAATAGAACTTTTGAAAAAATTCAAGACTTACAGGAATAGATAACAGACCCCAAGTTTGTTGAAAAATTGGTTCAAACTTTCAATTAATAAATAATTTCTTCTTAATAAGAAATAGAAAGTAAACATAATCAAAATCAACAACTTCTTCCCTTCTAATTGAAACTTACTTTTTTCCTCAATTTGGTAATCCCTATACGCCATAAAGTTAATAAGGACATGACCCTTTGTCCCATAACTTTTGATGATTGACCAAATCTTTTTTTTTATTTCACCTATGTGGGTGGTTTTCCCATGACACATATTGCTTGCAGGCACAAGGATAATAAGTACAAAAATGGGGGAGGGGGTGTTTGGTATTACCTCCCCATCCCAAACAAAGAGGATAGTGTTCCAGCGGCTACGGCACCAGCTTTAACTTATTTACATTCTTGTTAGTATTCAATATTGCAAAGATTCAGAGAAAAAGGATCCTATGCTCATGCATCTCTGTTTGTCTCTATTTAAGAGAAGCAGCCATATTGTCCATACAAGACATGTTTGAGTGGTTGGCTTGGCCTTTTGAGCAGTTGAAATTTTGAAAATTTCTCCTTTAATTTCTCGAAACCCCATGACCTGTGCTCATTTTCTCAGATGAGTTTTCTGGTCATTAATTACAATCAGGAATCAAAATAGTAGGGCACACTTTTTGTTGTTACATACATGTCATTAATTAGCTAGGGTGAGTCTTGTAATAGGTAAAATTGTTTCTTGTGATGAGAAGTTGAAGGGCTTGAGTCCGAGACAGTCTTTTTGTAAAATTACAAGCATAAAATTACATATAATTGACCCTCACTCTTATCTCTCAAATCAAGGAGTCTTTGTGTACCAAT